TTGAGTCACAGGACATAAGTGAATTTCAAGGAAGGTCAGGCCTCTTTGCTATATCATATTCTTTGTTGGGAGTGCCGATGAATCAAACGTATATTTGCTATAGCAATCGACTACGTTACCTATTTTCGTATGAGAGTAGGGTTTCGATAATACCTGTAAATCAGTATAATGAGATGTATTAACCCTATTTCGTCTAAGGTGATGAAATAATCCACTCTGGATGAGAACAACTTTTAAGAAAAACAAGGCTATGTGAAATTCAATGGAAACGTCAGCTCAACTCATATCATTGTGGGAACATTCTGCTACCAGTCCTTCATCACCTTAGACGAAATCGGGTGAATACATCTCATTATACTGATTTACTGGTAGTCTCGAAACCCTACTCTCATATGAAAATATTAATAGTCGAGCTTGATCATAGACGTGCTGTGTGAAGCAAAGACTTTACCACGAGATTTACTCGGTGCACATGCCGCACAATGATACAAGGAATCTGAAGTGTCAAGTTTGGCTTCCATGCTATTTGAGAATCCAAACTTTAGAGGCTTGCTCAGTGAGGTGCTATCAAAGGATTGAGGTGGAGCATAGAACATAAAGCCTTGGGTAGCAGGGATATGGTGGCATCGATCAATTGAAATCACTGAACGCGAAATTATCTAATAAAAGTGCTATAGATAAGTGGAAAATCTCTGTTTTTGTATATTCCAGATTTACACTCTGGAGTCAATGTCTCATTAATACATGAAATAGGCCAACATTCTTAACCTCGGTTGAAGCAAAAATAGTCACCTCACGTCGTTTAAAATGAGTTATTAACTGATTCGGGTATTTTGCTACAACCATGTTAGTAGGCCAAAGGCTGACATTTATTTCCCTAGCCCTTCCTTACAGAAGGTGTTGTAAATGTGAGGCCTCTCATATTACAGCGGTTAACTTATTCTTTCAGTACTTCATTAATCATAAGCTAGCTAGAAAGCTGGAACGAGTAAGCTCTTAATCAAGAACTTTTTACGTTCTCAAAGCGTACTCACAACGAAAATCAATTGAAATGGTTTGGAGCTAAGCATTCCAGATGATGGGAAGAAAGAGCTCAGTCAGCTGTGTGTATGTACCCTTTGTATATTTGCTTAGTTCAGTTATTATTATGACTATTTATTTCAGAGTCTCTTTGAATTTCAGCCATTCTCCTAACTTGTTCGAAGAAGAGCCAAATAAACCCGAAATTTCCCAACTACTGCCATGGAAGATCGATTTTGGTGAGCGATTGAACTCGATAATAATCGGTTGCAGACCTTTTGTTACATGCAAATGGTAAATGCAGTGTGAATAAAGAGGAAGTCTTTACTAATTGTTCTGGGAGGACCCTTACAACTCATGTAGTATGGATGTTTTCTATTTGCTAGAAAACAAGAGCAGCCAGATATGAATCTTTGCATGAATGAACAAATTTCAAGGAACGAAAATAATCCTTTGTCACTTATTGGCCGGTCCAACCTTAATGATAATTATAAAAATTACCTTTCTTACAGACTCCCATCTCGACAGAATATGTCAGCTATATGTGCATTTAAAGTAAATTCCTTGAAGAATTCTGTGGACGGTAAAAGTTTATGTCATTTGCAATGTTATCATAGAGCTTTGATGTGACCGTAGGCCTTTAAAAATCCACATGGAACATGATGCGGGCTTATTCAATAGTAAGCACATTTAACTCACTTTTCAAAGGTTATCATCTACCCATTACTCAGCAACTTCATTTCCTTATAATTCATTTTCTGATCACCCATAATGCTAGTAAATGCTATTCCACATGGCGACGGCTTGTGAATCTCCTGAACTGGCTGAGCGACCCCAACAAAAAGGCTGAGGTGCCGGACGAAATAAAGGGTGAAATCTTCGAAAAAGAGGAGATGCTAATCCCCGGAACAAGAGCAGACGGTATTCGGACTAAAGAGGATACTGAGCAGAATATCAAGGCCCCAGCTAGTGACCAGCCTAAAACAGCTACGTCCAGGCCGTACCGGAAGCCAACCGGTCCTACACGAAGATTTCAAGATAGACGGTCGATGCTGCGAAAACGGCCCAACTTAGCATTAGCTACATCCATTTCAGGAAGGAAACCTCAGAAGGTATGGAGCAACACAACCTTGCTGGAAGAAGAAGCAGCTCCGGCAGAATATCAGCAGTTCGACGAGATGGGCCAAAAAATACATGGAAAGGCAAAGCCGAAAGAACAAGGGATGAGGAAAAAGACGAATGAGGAATTACGATGGGCCACGATAGAAAGTGATATTTTCACTGATTTGACATCAACGTCAGACTCGATGGGCCTTTTGGAGTGGAATGAACCCTCTGTGGACAAATCCATGCAGATAAGCACAGGAGTGCTAGAGGCTCCGCTGAAGCAAGAGCAAGGCTTGTCTACAAGTCTTGAGTGTAAATTCAGCCTCGAGGCTCGAACAGTCACTGCCGACTCACGGCCTGATTCTCGGCTTGAGTCAGAAAGCGGCATATTAACAGTTGAGGGCCAGCCTTTACGAAACGTGTACGAAGCGAGGAAGCAAGATATGACGGATAGTATGCTCGGGTGTGTTCAGCTCTCGGCGATTACGTCGACTGTCGGTAGGTCTCTTTATTCCGAGTTGCCTAGCCTTCAGTCCAGTGCAGCTGTTTTATTTATATAAATAATAATACAGATTATAATGTGAAGAAAAGAGGATTCACTTGTTGCATTGGGTGAGGTTAATCTTCAAGTAAATAAGTTGCAGGGTCTCTTTTAGATCGATTGCTTTAAGTAAAAAAGACTGCTCGGTTTCTAGTGCAAAAATTAGCATATAAGATATTCACAGTCTTTGTCCAAGTTACACTAGATACAGAAGGATCAAAAGTCTGAATAAGCCACCAAGAGCAGTGTTTATTTCGTCCTGTATAATAGGCTAGTTCATATTTTGACACAGTTAATCATTTTCAAGCAAGATTACATTATTTTTTACTACCATGCAAGTCAACAAACATTTGCTTAAATTTACCGAAAGCCAAAATGTCCCGATATTTGGAATACCTACCCTTTTCACTACTCTCCGCTTGAGCTCTACCTACCATCGATTCGACAAGTTTGCGGAATTTGAACTTTCATAGCATTCTTGCGCCCTTTAGTGAATCCCAGATAATTTTGTATGATGTTACCATATATTTTACCATTTTTTTAAAATGTCCCTTAAAATGCTCTCAATCAGTTAAACTCCTTGCGACAGTTAGAAGAAAGTAATGTAAGTCAGCAGTATTTGCTCTCTTTCGGATTCACACAGGCCTAGCTTAGCCTCGATACATGTTTACGATCATTGTCCTACCGAAATAAAATAGATCCTCTTCTACACAAAGTTATGAGTTGGAGGAAATGGCATACCTCTGTAGAGTAGAGTTGTACTCACCTTTGCTCATTGTATAGAACAGACAGACCTAAAGTGACCACATCATCTAAAGACGGGATTATGTCTTATCTTCAAAAGTTATTTTTTTCCATTGCTTGGCCCATGCTATACGTTTCTACTTGTTTTCTTATTAAGAAGTGTTTTGGAAAGTGTTAAGCTCTCATGAAGACAGAAGCTTGTCAGTCGTATAGTGAGCGTAATTGTACTAACTGAGATACAGCGCTCTTTACTCAACAGACTTTAAATTTGACTGTGTAGAAAGCACCTAGTCCGAAGTCGTCTGCCATAGTAGTTGTCATGATTCCAAGCATCTGACAGTGGAATTGATACATTCCCAAAACATTTCGCCGGCATCGTAGTCGTTTGAGCTAAAGTCCACTGTCAGATGCTGGGAATCATGACAACTACTATGGCAGACGACTTCGGACTAGGTGCGTTTTACATAGTCGCCCTGAACACAAGACCAAGTTGCGACAACGAGGTCAACCCACTTCTATAAATCGAAAGGAGACTGCGACCATAACAGAGGCCACAACCTCTTGGTCTTCGTATATTTTTTAAATTTGACGTTTGCCTGGTCTACATCATGACCAAAGAAAAGTACCACTCTATTCTGCAAAGTTATGTCATCCACTCTGGCTTACGTTTGTTTGGAAGAGAATTCATTTTATTCCAGCAAGACAATGCTCATAAACATGCATCGAGGCTATCAAATCAAGGAAGGAGCATGATTTGCTTATTTGCATAGATTTCTCTCCAGTTTCACCGGAACTCTAGCTATTCGAGAACATCTTTGGGGGCATTTTAATATATTGTAACCTTACAAGAGGCTTTATAAGATACACTAAGCGGGTGCTAGAAAAAATATGGATTCCCAACTTTTAAAAAATTGGAGAATTGGTAACAGAGAGAGTGCAAGCTGCGATTAGGACAAAAGCTAGGCATACCAAATATTGATACATTTTTGGTTTCAGTAAATGAATGCAAACATTTTTTGATTTGCTTTATCGACTGTGCATAAATCTGAATTATCTCATTATAAATGTTGAAATAAACACTGTTCCTTATAGTATACTCAAACTTTTAAGTCATACTTTTTCTTCACCGTAATATAAATTTAGGATAAGACAACCTTGAGCTCTTCAAGCATCACCGTCCAGAAAGGCTTGTACTTCGGCAATCTTCTGATGTTTATCCTTGTTAGACCATCGGAGGTTTATAAAATTTACATATTTATTATGGAAGACTATAAAGACCCATCTTTACCATTTGAGAAGTCTAGGCAATTTGTTTTGGTTCTATGAAAAATCGAGGCCAACGGAGACTTACGTCTATTGATCATCGACTGCCCACTCAGCAGAGATGATACTTTACATTTATAAGTAGGTTTTCGAGACTTTTAGAAAAGCAAGGCTATGCAAAATTCCATTATAACGTAAGGTATACTAATATAATCGTCTCCTTATCACCGTAAATGATATAGGGTGGATAAATCTGATATATTTGATGTGATACAGTTGAGACAGATGGTGAGTTCGGAACTTAAATTAATCCTGGATGAGTATCTGGACGAAAGACAGAAGGGCGAAGAAGGGAGAAAGAATTTCTGTTTTAAATCGGCTCACTTTATTGATGCAGCATAAGTAGATCAAACGTTAAATGTTAAAACCATTTATACATTTCAGCCGAGATTACCTAATTGTTCTGAAATTTCTACTATTTATCTTGTGGCTAAAGATATATGCGTCCCTGAGATAGCACAAAAACAAAGTAGTTTTAGAATTTCTCCAGAACAGGTACCATTTGACGAATCTAAATTGAGTATTTGACTCAAATCCTTTCTTGTTTGTAGCTATGAAGGCCAAGAAG